CTAGATAATGGAGTTAAAGTTGCATCAGTTGAAACCTATTCACCGGTATCAAGAGTAGGTGTATTCCTGGATGCAGGAAGCCGATATGAAACTCAAGATAATCTTGGAGTGACCCACTTTTTAAGAAGTGCTGCATTTACTGTAAGTACATGTATGTTAATTTTTAGTCAGTAAAAACTCATGATTTAGATGGAATGTTCAATAAATCTGTTTATGAATTCCTAATGATATGATTACATGTATATGAGATTCTGATTTGATAAATGTTTATTTATTTTTTCTTTTAGAGTACAAAAGAATCTACAGCTTTTAAAATTGCCAGAGAATTGGAGCAATGTGGAGCAACTGTAGAGTAAGGAATTATGTCTATATTTATTAAATTATACATAAGAAAAAAATGAAACGACTAAAGATTTGGCATCATTTACTACTATATAGTTTCGTACCGCACAAAGAATTGTGCGGCACTCATCAGGTAAGTAGCCAAAATTTGGAATTGTGCGGTACGAAACTATATAGTAGTAAATGATGCCAAATCTTTAGTCGTTTCATTTTTTTCTTATGTATATTTGCTCTAGAGTTTGCTATTGAGCACTCTGATGACAATTTATGTTCAATTTTTGTTCAATTCTCTTTAATTTTATTAAATTATATGTAATTCGGTTTTTACATTGTATTGATATTTTTTGTTGTTATTGTGTAGAGCTACCAGCACTAGAGATCACCTCATTTTTTCTGCTGACTGTAAAAGAGATTCTGTGTAAGTAMCACCAATATATGGAATATAGTGCTTTGAGTGAAATAGTGAAATGTGAAATGTCTTCTTTACATTTTCATGTTTTTGATRATAAACCTGATTATCATTGTCTGTAGTGAACAAGTTGTTGAGAGTCTTGGTAATGTTATAACCAGCCCACTGTATAATCCATGGGAGGTAYGTTAAATGCTTTTTTGGATTGTATACAGCAGCACTGTACTCTTCCATATTTTAGTATTTACATTCACACAAACACTTGATCATTTGCCATATAGTTTACTGGATAATTAGGTTGATGTTTTCTGTGATTAAACTCTTGTTTTCAGATGGAAGAAGTTGCTGACAGAGTGAAATTAGATCTTGCTGTAGCAGCTACTCAGCCACAAGTTGGTRAGTTAAAGACTTCCATTTCCACTTAGCTACCCTTTGGTAAATTGTTGGTCTTCTGTTTGAGACTCCAGGGTCCATAGTGTACTCTGCAAGGTCAACAATCAGGGCATTAATTGTAGTCACAGCACTAATGTATATATATATATATTGCATTTCAAGTAACAATAGACAATTTTCTTCCCTCTTGTCTGTAGTCGTGTATTTGGATATACATGTAACAATTCTCTCAATGCACATGTACTTGTCAATGTTTTGTGCCAAGCTAAAATACATCAATTTAATGTCATCAATAGGTTATGATTATAGTATAATGTTTAAACTGTAATGATAACAATCTTGATTGGTTTTTGATATTTTTAGCTGTACTTGAAGATCTCCATCGTGCAGCCTACAGGAGGAACCTTGGAAACTCAATCTACTGTCTTCCACATAGAGTAGGAGGCATCACTACTAACCATGTAAGCATTGACCATTTTGCACTCTAGATATGCCCTAGTAACGCCTAAGATATATTTAAGTATTCAAAGTTGTTTCACTTTGTGTCAACAGCTTCTTGAYTTTACCCAGAAGCATTTTGTWAGCAGTGGTGTTGCTCTGGTTGGTGTAGGTAAGTGTTTTATTCCAAACCTACACTATTGTTGTTATATTCACTACTTTTAAGAGGATAAGAGTCATAAGGAATGTTAACTGTGTTTYTATATCTCAGGWGTTGACCATCAAGAGTTTGTTGAACAAGCCAAGAGTTCCTTTGCTTCACTGGCAAGAGCTGGTGCWCCAGCMAAAGAGGCAGCTAGATACTTTGGAGGTGAGTTTTTCAGGGTTTTTTTATGTTATGTTTACTTAAGTTGTATCTCAAGTWTCTATTCATACTTGAGCTATGTTGTTTGTTACATGTTCATGATTTTCATAACAGGTGAGGCTGTCACTCACAAGCCATACCCTATAGTCCATGCYGCTGTTGTTACTGAGGGAGCAAGGTATGCTATGCATCAAATGTTCTCTTCTTTGCTTGTCAGTTGTTTTTAGTTGTGGCTTTACAGAGCAGTTCATCTCACTTGTGACTTCTTTGTCAATTTTTAGCCTTAATGGTAAAGACATGCTAGCATATGGAATCCTACAGGTATGTTGGAGTGTGGTTTCTTCTCTGCTCTGATAAACCTGCTGTATTGATTCATGTGGCCTTGTACTTGAGGCACACAGTGTAAATGTATATTTATTTATTTTTCTGAATTTAGTTCTGAATTTGTGATTCATTTTGTTTGTTTGTTGTTGAGCAGCGTGTATTAGGAACCACGCCGTTTATCAAGTGGGGCAGCAACACTTCATCATCAAGGTAACAATGCTAATAAACTTCTTTACTACTGCAAAAGGCTGTAGATTATCTGTGTATAGTTTATTTATCTCATGCTTATTTATGTATTATCTTTTACAGAGTTAACAAAGCTGCCAGTGAAGTTGCGGAAGGACCATTCTTTGTACGTAGTAGATATTGTTATATCTTGTTTAATCGCTATGACTATCAATAAAGATGCTTGTAATTTGGTAGCGGTTATGAGTTGCTGTATATCAGGTCATTGTGTTTAACTATTGTAATGATTTTTAGGCTTCTTCCCTTAATATGAATTACGTGGACAGTGGACTATTTGGTCTTTATGTYATAGCAACTCCAACAGATATTGGCAAGGTAACAGTGCTTTCTGCCTACTATGTACTCTGTAAATTGTTCCCTTCTTTCTCTAYTTCTTTCTCACTTCACTCATTTGTTTTTCAATCCCCTGCCCTTCCCTTTGTCCTTTGTATTATTATTATACTCTCATTCTTTCTGGATATAGTCCAAGTTTAATGCCAATGTTTGTGAGAGAGACTGTTTCTTTATGTGATTTTTCCTATTAATTTTCCCTTGTCTCATTTTCCTCATTAGTTTGTTGCACTCTTTCCTTCAAATTTACATTTTTTCCCACCCTTTCTCATTACTTCTTCCACTGATCATTTGATTTTCTTGCAGGTCATGAAAGCCACCCTAGGTCAGTGTGTTAACGTATCAAAGGGAGAAATATCAGATGCTGAAATAACAAGAGCAAAGTAAGTATCAAGAACTCATGCATTATTATATTCCCAAGGGCTTATTTGAATGACTCTCTCATACCAACATTTACACTTTTAAACTTAGTTTTTATGAGGGTATTGTAATGATTGGTGTGTATGWCACAAAGCATCAAACCTTATCTTATTCTATTCTCATTAAACCTTATCTTATTCCATTCTCCCTAGGAATCAACTGAAGGCAAATGTTTTGATGGCCTGTGAAAGTAAACACACTGCTTTAGAAAACATGGGAGCTCAGGTACTATTGTATTTCCTAGATCTTATTATTTTACAACTTATTCACAGTTGAGAGAGGGGGAAATGATGTCAATGATTTTTAGGTTATTTATTGATGAAATATGTACAAACGCATTAGTATAAAATAACTTTCACTTCATGTGTATTTGTGTT